GATCTTTTCCAAACTTAATGACTCTGTGAAAGAGAAGCTTGAGTCAAGCAATCCTCAATTCATCTTCAGAAGCATTCACAATCCATCAGTTGTCATCACGTCGATCTTTCTTAGAAGGCATCTGCCCCTGAAAATTCCCTGTTTACCATCAACACTTTCAAAGTCTTTCTCTCTTCTGTGTCATTTTCAAGGAAACAACCTGCTGAAGAAACCCCCGAAAGCAACGGTGACTATCTTGCTTCCACGTCCAAAGGAAAGCTTTGCCTGGGGGAAGATGGAAGAGAGGAGGACGGTGCGGGTGGAGAGAACGTAGCTACAATTCTTCAATCTTTTCATATCTAAAGAGGACAGCAATCTCTGTTCTATCAGACCGCGTGGTTCGTGCTTTAAATGGTACTTGCTACTAGCTTGCGTTCCCTGTCGCTGTCTCCCTCCCTTTGAAGCAGACTGGACAGCTTCCTCAAGCTGGCGTTATCACTCCCTCTAACCACTCTTGGCAGGCAATCTAATTCCCCCTGAAAAGGTCACCGCCATTTTAACTGCCTTTCAATCACATTAAGCACGCTGCCGCTCGTGCTCAGAGCGCTGCGCCTGCAGCTCTCCTGACTGAGGTGCGATCGATAAACTGACATCCTGTCCCCCCGCCAGCCCCAGCCGCTCCCTCCCGGACAGCCCCTTCCAGAGAGAGCGGCCGGAGACGGAGTGGGAAGAACCCCTCGTCGAGCACGAGGCAGCAGGGGGGAGCTGCTAACCTGGTGTTTACTCATCTACTTTGTCCCATCTGCTGGGGAACAGAAGGTTGCAAGCATCCCCTGCTCCCAGCCCTGCAGAGGCACGACTTCACAGGACAGTTTGCTCAGGCATCGGCCCAGACACCTTTGAAGCTGTGTTACAAAGCACAAGCCTCCCTCAAGCTTCCCTCAATGCAATCATTACCGTTATCTCTCCCCCTGTGCTTTTTTTTTTTTTTTTCAGTTACGAGTTATATGTTCCACCCATCGATCCCTGTGTAAGACACTGTTTTAAGTCCTCTTGCCTTTTGACTGTGCTAAGCCGTTTAAGAGATGACAGCAGCTTCTATCAGCGCGAAGCTGATGTGATTCTTTTCAGATAAAGCACTTTTTTTCACTCCCCCCCCTCCTTTTTCCTTCTTTCAAGTAAGAGACATACACACAAAAAGAGACAGTGAATCTTTCAAAGAAAAAAACCCTTTTGAACTTCCCTCAGGAAATCTTTAAAGGGATAACCTTACAGTGTAAACACTGAGGGTAACGTGCATCCATTCTGGAGAGGAACAGAAGAATTGCTACAAATACGTTGAGTGGTAGAAAAAAAAAAACAACTAAAAAACATCAGAGATGGAGCCACTTGATGCTTTCACTTGTGAAGCCTCGTTGGCTTCCTAAACAGAGAAACTCATTAGACAAAGATTGCATGAAATAATCTCCTGTAACAAAGACCATCAGAAAGGGATGATCCAGGGACATGGGGACAGATGGTTCAGGAATTTCAAAAGAAATTTCAGTTTTGTGACAGTTGTGAGATAGGGAAATATTTTATTAATTCCTCTCTATGGCTTTACATTTTGAAGCAAGAGCTTGATTAAAATAGCAGTAGGTATTTCATGCTGGTAGCCTTCTGCAGTCATCTTCAACTATGAATTCCTGCTTCAAACAGAAGCTCTGCTGAAACAAAACCATTCCAAATGCTATCTAATTGCCAACAGTCTTCATTTATACCCTGCACGGATCCAGTCTGAGATAAGCACATGAAGCAATAGCAGACGATGCTTTGCGAAGGCAGGAGAACCTCTAGAAGTACTAAATAACTCCTGACTGAATGCCTTCACCAAGCCCAACTGCTTAAGAGACAGCATACTAATCTCAGCACTTCTCACCTAGGCTGTATTCCTAGTTGCTACTATCTCCTTTCCTTTCCAACTGCTGTGTCAAGTACGCTGAACCATGGCAAGCAAGGAGTACTTCAGCTCTGCTGGACTTCTTAAGACAGCCCCTAAGGTGAGAGGAGCAAATCTTCCCTGCCATAGCTTTGGGATCAAGAAAACTTCATCCTGGGAACCACACAAGTGAGGCTTTCAGCCTGTGATTGCTCTCAAGTATTAAACCATCTTCCAGAAAATCTGAGCTGGGCTGCTACTGTCCCTGACCTGCTTTCAAGGAAAAAAGAAAAAATAAAAGTCCCAGCCTTCCCTCGCCTGAAAAAACTGACAAGATCTTTCAGCAAAGCTCTACTGACCTTGAGAGGCACATAAACATGCCCATTAACCAAAGATGATAAGAGTAGGCAGCCAGGAACCTGTGCTAAGTTTGAGCTGCTTCTGCAACGCTGCCCACCGTCTGAGCCAACTCGTGCAATACATGCTGGCCACAGCATCCTGCTCCACTCACCGCCCAGCTGTGACATCTCCTCCCAGCAACACACTATTAAAACCAAAACTGATGAGACACATGGATGTCTATTCTCCCCTCTGGTTTTATATATTTCCCCATGTCAACTCTTCAGACATCCCTGACATCCCTGCAGCCTGGCAAAAGCTGTCTGGCATTATAAAAGACCTTTGATTTCCACATCGCTGCTACTTTTTAGCAAAGGGAACAGAGCCAAACATGAAGCCTCGGGTGACAAGGGTTAATGAGGGCCTTACCAACTCCAGACAAAGCACGTTTAAGCACTGGAGAGCATCTCTAGAACACCGTGTTGTGCTTCAAGGCTGTACAATAGGGACTCTGTCCCTAGAACAAGGGAAGAACCAACATTGGCTGAGAAAGGAAAAGGAGAGTCAGCTTTACCTGAGAGTGCACAAAGCAGGTCTGACCAACAAAGACCAGAGAAAATAGGAGAATCACTAAAAGGAGCATGGAAAAGTATAACTTCCTTAAAAAGAAATTCAATCAGCTAACAAGAGGAGCTTTCCAGCTTTGCTTTCACTTCCCACATTTTATGGAAGATTCCTGAATAGGGTATGCAGGTACCCTGCAGCCATCATCTAGCCATCCCAAAACATTAGGCAGAAAGTTGGTTTTAAATAGTATCCTGCCTATAGCATAGCGTCCTGCACCAAGAGCAGGAGTCAACTAGACGTCCTTCCCATCAGGGCAATTACAGAGGGTTTACCCATGCTCACCTCTTCCAGTTTGCTGGTACTTTACTGGATCAGTTCACACAACTAAATGCTGTTGACAGTGTCATGCAGATCTTGGTAAGGAAAGAAGAGACAGACCTCATAATTCTCAATGGAAGCAAGGCTACTTCTGTACATCAGATTCAGAGATTCACATACAGCCAGCTAGGTGAGAAGGTTGCAGCCATGACTGCTGTTACGATCTATTTAATCTTTGATGGTGAAGGAAAGTAGTTGATTTATTTAATGCAAACTAACACACTTGAGAATTCCAGTTTAAATAAAAAGTATCAGGGTGTAAACCCTCTGTATTTATATAGCCTAACCCTATCAATTACACACACTTTGTCAACCTGGAGCCTTGTATGAAGAACACCCTGACTGAAGCTGCATGAAAACTTCAGTCCATATCTCAGTGAATTAATTCAGACACCACTGGAAATAGATCCAGGTGAAGACAGCACAATGCTTCAGCCAAAGAAGTGGAAGATTGTGCTCTCTTCTAAAACTCGTCTGCTCGGTGCACAGAGTGCATGAGTACACTCTGTATGTGCATGGTCTGTCAGGAATTAACTGAGTATCCTGTCTAATCAGGACTAGTAGAGACAAAAGCACACAGGCATCCCATGCTTCTCTGCTACTGATTGTAATAACTGTACTAAACACAAGCCTAAGGCCCTGCATGGTCTCATCAGACTGCTACCCAGTATCATTCAACTCTCCATGCCGAAAAGAAGTAACAAGAATGAAGGCCACAGACACAGAAAGCAAACAACATGAGCTTCGATGGGTAGCCTTTAAAATCAGTAGAAGCTGCTCCTTCACCTCTGTGCTCCTGATACCTGCTCTAATATGATATAATTTCAGAGGAAGGTAAGAGCAGATCAGGAGTGCCAGGTTGCCACTGAGCACACGACTGGCTTTTAAGACCAAGTCCCTTACTTAGCAGCCTTTCCTCTTGAGATATTTTAAATTAAAATCCAAGCTGATATAGGAAGAGATTACATCCCACCCTCTTTATTGAACGGAGGGAGCCAGCATTCCTCCCCTCATTAGGTATGCACTACGTGGATTGCTTGTGAGATTCTCCTTAGTGCCAGAGGTTTGTGCCAAAGAGCAGTTTAGTAAATCCTCCTCCTTGAGGCCAAAAGGCTGAGTGTAAGAGAGGGGACAGGTTTCTAGCTAAAATTACATTCACCAATAAAGCTCATGAGAGGTCAAATTTTACCATAACTCACTCTCTCCTCAGTAACTGATTTCCCCGTCACTGGGGAAGGAGCAGAAGAAGGAGAAAAATAAAATGTGTTTGTCTGGGAGCCCTAAGGGCTTGCAGTGCTGGAGGTGCAGAGCAGGTTTCTGGATTCTCATTTATCAACCTTAAAAGGGATGGAGTGATAAATGCACAACCGGGCCTTTAATATTTTATGCAGGTGCTAAAGCGACTTAGCTGTCACCTTCAATACATCACCAGAGGCTGGTACACCAGCTTTCGTCACTCCAGGCTGGGAGTTTTTACAATTTCATTTCTATTTCCGTCTCTTCACATATTTCCACGTATATGATACTAGGTGTAACATATAAGAATCCATTTTCCCCAAATGATCTCCCCATTCTACCCGTTCCCCTCTTTAACCACATTTCTCAAGCAAGAAATAATTCCACGCGTTTGCTGAGGACTTGCACAATTTTTGAATCTTACCATTCCAGAGGGGCAGAAAGCTGAAATTGCTTTACGTTCTTGCAAAGGGTTAAGGTCCCATTCTTTGGGAGAGAACTTCCACGTCCCTCCCTTTAACAACAAGCCACAGTCACCTACCACAGCAGAATGATTTACAAGGGACTCAAAACATGGGCGCACCTCGAAATCCTCCCTCCAGGAGAGTAGTGGCCCGTATCCTCTTCTGCCCACACCACTCGTATTCTTCAAAGCGGTTGCCGTTCTCGTTCTCGATGTCTACAGAGTCATCCTCGGTCATGCACGAACCTTCTCTCTGCACAGGGGAAAGCAGGGACAGAGCGTTGAGACGCATGAAATAGCACTGCAGGGTTAACAACTCAGGGTGAGATAGAGAAGGAAAGCTGGACTGCTCCAGGGTAGGATTTGCTCCCCTCCCCATTCCCAGCCATCTGAGCTCAGAAGTAAATGGGAACTATAAGAACATGACAACCTTAAAGTCAAAAGAAGTGGCAGGGGGTCATCAGTTTTGCACAAGCAAAATTCAGCTCTGGTTCCTATGACACTGGTGTGCATTTCAATGTGTTCCCCTACTTGGAGCACAGTTTCCCTATTTATCATCTAAACAACAGATTCCTTTGATCCCCAGCACTGAGAAGCTCCCAGGCTACAGGAGCTGACAAGGAATACTCTCCTAGAGCATTATTGAGGCACACTGATCAAAAGACACCTGTCTTTACACCACGCACTTCTTGAGATGACAAGAATGAATGAATTTGTTATCTCTGCTATGGGATTTCCCTGCAAAACAAGCACAGAAAGCCCTATGACAATTCTCTTATCCCTGATGCTTTTTCCTCCTTATTCCTTGCTGTCTTTGGAAAAAACAGCAAGAGAACAGTTCTGCTTGAACACAATTTTTGGAGTAAGGTGGTCATGAAACATTTACAAGTGCCAGCCTGTTACAAAAGAATCCAACAAAAGTAATTCCAATGCTGTCGCCGTGCAGAAAGAACTCTTCTTGCTGTGCTGCATAGGAAGCATACAGCACTATAAAAGGCTTCACACACTCAACAGCTCTACACTTACTTTCTACAACTTAGACTTAGTGAAAGAGTGCAGGAAATAAATGCAGAACAGGAGAAAATCCAGAAGAATCCACCTTCCAAGACAGAGGAAGTGACTACAGATCTCAGGGAGACAGTTAGCATTGCCTGCAAGCTCAACAGTGTTAGTGTTTGTCCCATGTTAAGTCAGACAAAGCTGAGAGTAAGGAGAAGGGAATGGCAGCTGGCGATCCTGCTGCGCCTCTACCTTTGCAAGGCATTGTTCCACATGCCTACTCATCTCCTCCTCGGATCCTGACAGAGGTCGGTTGCAGAGGGGACATACCTGCCCTTCGTCTTGCTTCCTCCGTTTCATTTTTCCAATCCGAGCTGCATGGACAAAGCAAGGAAAGAAAAAAAAAAAGGAAAAAGGAAGACATGTCAAGTTTGTAGATCCATCCATTCCTTACATAGAAACTTGCTCTGACCACAGAAAGCCACTGCAGTGCCCAGAAAGCCTCAGACAAATTATGTAAGACAGCCACTTTCAGGAGTGTCTCCTGCACGCCCTAAATGATTCCTTCCCAAACTGTCACAAGCAGATCTTAGTAGCAGGTAGCATTTATGGAAAGATCCTTGCTGTGAAAAACACAGCACCCACCCCAGACAGCTTCTGTCTCTCCCTGTTATTTTTATTTCACTGTTCTAATGCATAGAGAAACTGCCTTCTTCAGGGCATGTTCTGGGAAACAAACATGTTAGGATTCACGCTGATTAGAAAAAGCAGCCAAGGTAGCCTGTTGCTTAATATGATCTCTGGTTAATTTGAGCCATCGTTTAATGTGATCAAAACATCTGGAACCAAATCATTTGCATTAAATAGAACTTCTGTCCTTTATTATGATGGCTTTAGGCAGGTATTACTGAATAACTCAATCACTGGCTGCAGGAAAGTTCCTATTTAATTAATATGGAAGGTCAAAATTCTGAATGAGAGACAAGGAAAAGCCCAAGGAAAGCCCGTGTGATAATGAGAGATGACACCACCAAAAAGCTGCAGAAATCGTTCCTGACATGGTGAGTGCTGCAGCGTGCTCTGAAAGCCTTGTCCACAAAACCTGTGAGATAACAGCTCTCTGCAGCCAGAGACAACAAGAAAGGTGCTGCAACGCCAGGACCACACCAGGGTACAGGAAAGTTTGTGTCAACTGTCCCCTATGGTACATCAGATTCGTGCATTCACAGCATCGTGTGATTGATGAAGCTGGAGCTGAACACACCACCACAGCCTTGAAACAGGGCTTTATTGTTGGCTTTGCTGGACATAAGAATGTCTGGGTTTGGATGTGCTTTCCCACCATTCAGAATTAGGAATATTCACCTTCCCCTACGCTCTGAAACTCCACTATTATGAAGGCTTCGTATATCTGGAGCACTGCTTTTCCTCACTGAAAGCAAGCAGATTTGCCAAAAAAAAAATAAAAAAAATTAAAAAAAAAAAATTAAAAAAATTAAAAAAAATTCCTTCAAAACAAACCTGTGTTCCTGGCATCATAAAAAGGATTCTGCAAACACAACTCTCCTATAATAATAACAGACAACTCCAACCAGAGCAGGAGTGTCTTTGAGACCCAGTTCTTTGAACAGCAACAGCTCTCTTGAGTAACTGCACACTGCTTTCATCTGGTGTTGGAGTTTCACAGTCTGTACTTCAGTATTTCTGGTAAGATGTCTTGGTAGTTTCCCTTCTACTTTATCTGCTTAAGCCAGTTATTTTATCTGCAGCGTCAGCTTTTACTCCAGAAGTAAACTGCATGACTTCCAGTCAATACAAAAGCAAACGATAATCACCAAGTGTTATTTCAGAGCGCCCAAATGAATTATACTCCACTTCTAATTAAAACAATGACCCCTAAAGTCTTCTGTTTTATCTCCCCACTTGGAAGCCCCCAAACCAACCCTCCAAGCTGGCACAGCACTACTACCAGGGACAGTGTTTAACCATACTCTGTCTGGTTTGTACTTCAGTGCATAAGAGCTTTCTGAAGTTCCGGGTCAGGGAGCACCTACACCCCCTAGCAGGGCTTCTTCCCTGAGAGAGCAGGCTGGAAACTGACTCAGTTGTATTCCAGTAAACGCTCACCTGACCAGAAAAAAATAAAATGCAGGAAGACAGAAAGCAAGCCTTCTCTATTCTAGCGACAGGCACCTGTCCCTCAGCTCACCCTTTTTTTAAGCAGGGAAATGGAGGGAAGGAGCATTAAAATATTCTGGTAGGTCTCAGCAGGTGGCTCCTTGGCGAAGCAGCCCTCGTAGTTCCAGTGTCACAAGTGAAAAAGCCACTGGACAGAAGAAGTGTTGAAACCAAATCCCCTGCCATTTTAATTCTGTGGTCATTAGTGGTGCCCACAGAGGCCCGGTGTGCCCCTGGCTGACAGCAGAAAACCAAAGGGACTGCTGCAGCCTCGAAAGCCCATCCCGAGCCACATCTTCCATACCCGACATGCAGCCCTGCCATCACTTCCAATCAGCACAGCAGAGACAGAGCGGCCCCAAAGGCAGGGGGTGATTGTGGTGCTGTCCCGAAGGGGAACCGCTCAAAAGAACACGCAAGTAAGACCACAGGATTCTTAATTAGTGTTGATAGATGCGATCATTTCTAATTAGCTCACTAATCCCTCTCCCCTACACTCCTGTCGCAGGAGCTTGGGAGAAGAAAGAAGAAAAAAAAAAAAAGTGATTCCCTCTTGTAATTCAGCGAGATAAAAACATAGGCAGAAGCAGTCTGGGCTTCCAAATCTCTGCTGCCTTCCCACAGGAGGGGAGAGAGGAAGCCAGGCCGCCCTCCGCAGGTGGAAGGGACCGAGTGTCTTTCTCACAGCTCTTCCCATCTAGGCTTAAGAATTATTAATGCTTGAGGATTAGGTTATGCTCTGGCTCAGAAAAATTTCCTGGAAGGAAAGCTAATGGGTTTTAGTTTTCACTGCCACGCTTCCCAGTAAACAGAAATCCACCCTCAGGATGGGGCTGTCTAATTACACCCAGAGTGCTCTTCCAGTGCATCCAGCAGTGGACACGAGACAAACCTCTCCTGCAGCATCCAAGGAGATGATTAAGTTACTCGCAATATCTCTTATGATTCCCTCCACCAGTTTGAGTGGTCCCCCGAGTCCCATGCAGACATCATTAGCAGCTCCTGCAATGGCAGGCCAATCAAATTAAATGGAAACATTTTGGTCTCCTTTCCAGTGAAAATCACCTAGCTTTGTCCCTCCCCCACCCATCACCAGCTACTGGAGCACTTGGTGCGCTTGTGGTGAATTGAGTGCAGCAACAAACCACAAAGATCATTGTAAGGACCCATTCTGCAGCTCTACTGAGAATGCCAACTTTGCAAATACCCCTAAATGTGAATCAGAGATATTTAGGCATGAGAGGTAGCACCTGCTCTCCACAAATCTACTACAAAAGTATTGAGGACTGTTTACACTTTGTTGGACTCATCACAAAAGGCTTCTGTGGCAGATCGACTTACCCAAGAGCATCTGATCCAAGGGAAAAAAGACAGCTATGACAGAGTACAAAAAGCCACCTCAAGAACAAGCTAAAGCAGGAAAACAGATGGTCAAGAATAAATCTGTTTCAGACCTTGCGTATGATTTGCTGCTCATCTGCCTGAGAGAGAACACTAAAGGCCAAATTCACAGAAGGGTCTCAACAACACAGATAATTTTCAGCAATCTTCCATCTGACGCTGTTCTCCAAGGATTGCACAGACTTGACCTGCTGAATCCATGCTCTGTACACTAATCATAACTGTGCCTCTAAGCAGACCTGCAGTATTAAACTCCTTCAGCATCAATTTACAGAGTGGCTTCAAGTTTTGACTTTAGCAATATGGGAAAAAAGGCAAATGAACAAAATGCTTCCTTTAACATATAGCTACACCAGGAATCAGCACCTCATATGCCTGAGTTCACAAGGACACAACCCCATGAAGTGAGTTTAGCACAGGTGAAGGGTGCTGGATTAACTCACTGAGGCTGACAGGGAACTTCAGATACAAAAACACTAGACCATGTGTCTTACAGACAACATTAATCTGCTGCTCCAGAGCTTACAAATGCCTTATGCACAGAGCTTACAATTATCTTATGTACAGTCCAAGGTAAGTTAAAGGTTTGACTTACGGAATCAGAATTCTGGACCAAGTATATGTGAACCACATAAGGTCTTATCTACACTGCACCCAGGCTCACAGAAGACATCCCTTTCTCTACCTTCTCTTTCCTTAGCTCCTGTTCTGTCTCAAGTGACCACACTGGGATGAAACATATCCAGAAAATTCGAGAGGCCACTCAGGCACAAAGAGCCAGGGCAGCTGAGATCTGAGTCAAGGACTACGTGGGAGAACAGCAAACACTGCAGGTCCCTCTTTACAGGGGGAGTTTCCAAAAGTGATCCTGAAGCTCAGCTGGTAAGAAACTTTACAGAGACAGCCAGACAAACAGGTAACAGCAACACTGAGAAGAACCTTTAAAATATAATAGAAAAAAAGTGAAATAGTAGGTTTTTCTTTAACATAAGTTTGCATTTTCTATATGTTATGTGCCAATAAGAACACGAAGCAGAATGCCAGATGTCTTGGACAAGTCCTACACAATTTTTGTCCATGCAAACCAATAGGGATAAGGAAATAATTCTCACAGAACAAGCTATAAAACTGTGTGATTGATAAGAAGCTTGTTAAAATACAAGATATAGATAAATAAACTTTTTTTTTTCCAGAGCACTCAAGCATTCTCCATCTGGAATGATATTGGTTAACTAACTAACAATAACATGGTGAAGCTTACGAATAAGTTATTTTGGTACAAATGCAGAGGAGCAAATGAGAAAGCAGGCAGAGTTCAGTGCTCATAAGCACTGACAGCAGCTGAATACACTATCCAGCCACCCAGCTGAATGCTCATCTAACTGCTCAGGACTGAGCCAGGTATCACCATGGGCACATTCTGGGAATAGTAATAATCAAGAGTCATAAAAAGATAAGGTGAGGAGGAGCCAACTCTAATCCATCTTGACCAAAGCACTTCAGCTAATATTTCTGCATCCAGCTCCCTAGCTCTGGACCTAGTCCTGCTAAGGTACACAAGAGAACAATTACAGTTATAAGTGTATTATTTAATCAAAATGCCCTCATCTGGATGATGACTGTTAGTTTTGTTCACTGTACTCCTAAAAAGAGTAGAAGGTTCAGCGAGAGCAATGCAAATGCCATGCAGAAGTAGCAGCCTCCCTTCAGCTGACAAGCCCCTTCAGTTCACAAAAACAACCCAAAGCAGGTCCCAGACTGCAGCACATACTGACTGTGCTGCAGTCCTGCTTCAGGCTAAAGTCAAAAGCAGAAAGCACTGCTGAGCTGGTTCAGCAGAGCATGCTGTCATCAAGAGCTTTCATTCATCCTGGAGGACTCCACAATGCCAAGAACCTCACAAGCCTCGTTCAGACTTTTTTTGTTAAATAAAATTATTGGCCAGAAAAAAGGCAGAAGGTGTGAGCTTAGACTGAACTATCCAAAAATGATAAAGAAACAGTTTGACATCACTGACTCCAGAGACCTTTGTCACACAAAACAAGTCATTGCAGAGTAACACCTGAGTGTGCTTCAGTCATCTGAAGTCTGTGTCAGGAAAGGGGACTGCCTGCAAACAGGCAGCTCACTGCGCTCATCTAGCAGTGTGGATGTGAGCACACATGCCAACAATTATGTGATATTGATACAAGGCAACTCATCTCTTTGTTGTATGACTTGACAGACCTTCAAGAGCTTCTGGCCCTCAGGGTGCGCATTTGAAACTCTCCAAGCCGCCTCTGAATTCAGTTCAGTATTTCTTATCAAAGACATTGGGTCAGTAACTTAATAAAACTTCAACTTGTTTAAGAAGACTATACAAGAAGTAGTACTTCAAATGTAAGCAAACTACTCCAGTACTGGTACAATCTAAAGCTTTTTGTTATTTGGTTAAGATGAAGTTGTGTTTGGTTTTTTTTTTTTTTTTAAAAAGTTTTTTTAAAACCCCACTCTGTCCTACACAACCACAGCAGGAAGCTCAATATAAACGCGTCACCTGGCAGCTTAAGCACCTGAATGGCATCTGAACGCTGCAATTTGGGTTGGCTACAGGCCATACAAAATACACGGGTCACATATAGGCCATAGAAAAATCAGATGACCAATTATTGCTACTTTGTACAGGAAAGTTCCAATTCCTCCGAATCTGGGAGAAGCATTTCAGCTTCAGCCTAAATAATAAAGTTTTTCTAAATACTTCTAAATACTAAAGCACTTCTCACTAGATAACCTTGTCTACTTGCTGTTATCAACACGCAGAAACTCAAGCATAAAAGTAACACACAGGCTGCAACCGGGAGTTCAAGAACCCAAAACCACGGAAGGTGACGTCAGATACAGCAATGCCCACACCGCAACTTGGAAAGTTTCCTCAGGACCCGGGCAGTGCCACAGGAGCCTGAGTGCACCGGGTTGCCGCGGGTTCGTGCGGGGACCCCAGCGGCAGAAAGCGGGGCCGGGCCGCTCCGGGAGGATGGAGGAGGGCCCGCACTCACCGTTCAGCCGGGTCTGCCGGTTCGCTCGCACCCGCAGGAAGGTCTGCAGAGGGGAGACAAGAGCGGACACGTGTCAGCGCCCCCGGCCCGCGGCCGCCGGATGTCAACAGCTGCCCCTGCCTTGTAAACAAGGCCCGGTCCCCCCGCCCCGCGCATCGTCGGGACGACGCACCGGCCCCGGGCCCGCCCCCCCCCCCGGCCCAACTCCAGCACCCACCTCTTCCCGGCCCCCGCCGCCGGGCCCCCTCCTGCCGCTCTGCATAGCCGCGGGCGGCCGGCGGGGCGACGAGGCGGCGGCCCCGGGGCGGCTCCCCCCGCGTGGCCCGGGATGCGGGCGGATACGGCGCGGCCCGGCAGGCGCCGCCGATCAGCCCCCAGCGGCCGCCGCCATGTTGGCCCCGGTCATGTGACCCGCCGCCGAGCGGGTGAAAGTTCACCGGGAAAGCGGCAGGGAGAGGAGAGGAAGTTCCCATGGCAACCGACAGGCGGCAGCAAGGTTCGGCGAGCCCCGGCCAATCAGAGCTCAGCGGCGGTAGGAAACTAGGGAGGTTTGGCCAATTAGAGATGAGGGGCGAGTGGGACTCCGGCGTGAGTGGCCAATGAGAGATCGGGTGCAAGTAGAACCCGAGGGCAAATGGCCAATCAGAACCCAGGGGCAATTGGCACCCTGTGCTACAGGGCCAATAAGAGCCCAGGAGCAACTGGACACAAGGGGTCCTTACCCAATAGGGCGCTGCCGATTGTGGGTTCTACCCTTTCAATTAATTAAGCTGTCTGTCAGGAGGCGCGCTCACCACTGAGGCTTTGGTGGAGGAGGGCACTGAGCAAGCCAGCATTCCTGCAGCGCTCCTACTCACAGATCTCCTTCTTCCCCAAGTGTCCCCGTGGTAAATAAGCATGAGGACTAAGAAAACCAAGCCGTGGGGATTCTGAAAATGTGTGCTCCAATGATTCCCGTCTTAGCATGCTGCTAATACAATGAATATTTGCTATTATTAAATCCCCACAAGAGGCATTCATAATACTAGCACACCTCTGCATACGGAAAGCTAAATTTTGCAGCTTTAAAGTCACCATGAGAGTCTTCTGCTCTGCTTCCTGAATGTTTCGCTTGGTAAGCCAGGAAGAATGAATTCTCATTCATATTGTGGCTTTATTAAGGATAGGCTGAGGCTTTACACAATCCTGGCACCCACTCTGAGGTCCCTTTACATTGCCTGAGGAGCATAAAGCAGCCAGCATAGGCATAAATGAAAATCAGGCCCCAGAGGTCTTTTCTCCCTGCAGTGCAGACTTACAGCTCCCATTACGCATTTGCATTAAGGGCTGCAACCCTCCATAAAATATACTCACAAACTTAAAACACATTAGAGACTCACTAGACTCAGCACATAGAGGGGGCTTTTGCTGAGAATATTCGTCCTCAAGTATGACATAATAAAAATTTATAGGAACAGAGGACTGCAAGGGACCGCCAAGTTCACAGAGATTGAAATCTGGAGAAGTGGGGTGGGAGGGGTGCTCCTGAGCAAAGGGGGACATTGCAAAAGGCAATTGCACACCCTTTTGGAAAGAACATTATTTATTTATTAGCCTTAAAAAAGCAAGCAGGGAAGAGAGCAGGAATGCTTGTATTAGGCATTTCCGTATCTTCTGTGGGATTTGCTGCTCTTACTTTGTACCAGGTCTCATATGAGGGTGAAGTGACCGTGATATGACACAGCATTAGAACTGAAGGGTACCTTAGAGTATGTAGCAAACAATGGAGGATCTGTCTTTTTTGGTAATATAACCGATAAATAGGTCAGAGGACAGAATAATGGGCAATAAGCGCACATTTTTTGCTGCTATTAATAGGACCTATCTTCTAGAGCACGTGCTTTAGTTGGAGCTGCTGGGCTGGGCACACAGAATGGTCATCAGCTCTCTTTCTGCTGATACTGATGCAGACTGGGCTGGTGTCGAGTGGCTGATGTATAACGGCTTGACCTTGAGCACAGGACATCACTGTGAGGGACACTGGGCCATGGACATAGGACAGGGTATAGGGGTAGAATGGCACATAGGGTGGTGGATTTATGCCTGACACAAATACAGCCATAGCCCGCCCAGCCTCTCCCCATGGTAGCTGAAGGCATGCTCGGCACTGTGCTAAAGACTACCATTATTTTTCCTGTTGCCTTTCAGAGCTTTGTTGAAGCTAGTGGCTGAGCACAGGCTTGCAGCCAAACAGTGTGGATGTGTCTTGAGCAGGAGTCAAGTGTGCCAGCCTGCCCACAAACCACAGACAGATCCCCAAAAAGCTGAGCTGCACTCTGGCTGCTGCCTTCTTCTTCCTTTCTTGCTCTGTCTCCCAGAGCTTTTACTCAGTGTGTCACAGCAGGTCTAAACCTGCTATTCCTCTGGGTAGAGAATTTATTTATTTATTTATTTATTTTATATAACCTGCAGGGTTATAAAACATGGTGGCACCACTCTGCCAACATTTAAGTCGGAATCACAAGTCCGTTTGCTGGGTAGCAGTACACCAGTGAAATGGAGAGCTCTGTCCTGCTGCAGGCTGACATCATTCACTGCTTTCCAAAAAAAAATCACTTCTCTGAAAGTTTCACAAAGCACGGAGTAAGTAATGACAAACACAGCCATGGCAACGGCAGAGATGATGAACGTAACGCAGCAGAAAGCTCTGCGAAGATTTAAAGCTATGACTGAAAGCCAGCATTGGGAGGACTGTGCAGACAGAAGCACGCCTGCGTGGCCATGTGAGGGACAAGGTGCTCTATAGGCATGCAGAGCTGATGGAGAGCTGCTGGGGTGAGCTGGCTCCCACATACAGCGGAGAGCAAGGATGGTGCCTGCCTACTTACCTGGTATCTGTCTGAGTGATGGATGTCATCCGAGGAGTGGGGTGATGCTGTTGGAGAATCTCCTTCCCGCTTGATTGAAGCCGACAACAAAATTGACTGTGAGAGAAAGGAGAAATTCATGCTGTGAGCATCGTCCAATGCTCTGCCCCTGACTAAGCTGCCCTCAAGGGCATGGGGAGCAATGTGAGGCTGGCCTTGTGCTTCTCATGCTGTGCATTGCCTGCCCTGCCTGGGGCTGGGCTGCGGGGCTGTGGCCTGCTATAGCCCAGTGCAGTGACATCAGGCAACAAAAGGACAACTGTCCTTCAGACAGTGATGAGTGATCCCATTGGAAGAGGCCGGTGGGTCTGCTGGCTGAGCAGCAGGGTCGAGCTGATGCTATTTGCAACATGCACTGCTGGTTTTAGAAGCACAGCCCAAAGGGGACAGCCAGCTGAGCCTGGGTGTGCAATTTAAAGTGATTCAGTGGATGAGAACTGCCTTAAAAATTTGCCTTCTCTCCTATCAACCATCCGCTGCCCCATCTGACAGATGAGCTACAAGAATGCATCTTTGGACCACAGAGGTTGCCCAGCCCGTGTAGGAAATGAAATAGCCACACTAGTGAGTGCTGCTCAACGTGTGCCCCTCCTGTGCTGGAGAGCATCTTGCACATGCAGTGTCAGAGCACTGCACAGCCATGCACTGCCCTGCAGATGCCATGGGGGATCCAGCAGAGTCCCCTGGTTAAAAAAAAAACACCCTAGAAATCCACAAAAACCATATGGCAATGCAGCATTGTGCTGGCATGGAGCAGTGCCAGCATGTGCTCATCTGTCTCTGCAAGTTGCACTAAATCTCTCAGCAGCTTTGCATTAAAGCTCTCAGCACCTCGGCAGCACAGCCACCCTTCATTCTGTAACGATGCTATTTATTTTAATAAGTAGCACATGAAAAAAAAAAAAAAAAAGGCCTTTTAGAAGGTTAAAAAGATCAGTGATATTTGAGACCTAAGAAATCGCTGATAAACTTCGAGTCAACAGTAGCTAAGTCCAAATTCTACATGCAGTGAACCTGAGAGGAGAAATTGCTGCAGGAGTTTGACAGCATTTAAAAAAATGTATGCTGAGTTGTGAGTCAAGTTTATTATTGGAAGAATTAGAGGGGGAAATCCAATTTAAAATTCTAATTTGAAATCGAAATTAACTAAACTAGGTTAAATGTAGCACAATACGTTGAAAAGATATACACTGTAAGCTTGGCTCTCCAGATGTTTGTTTCCAGGAATCAGCTGGCAAGATCCAACAATAAATGACTGCTCGGAGATGTGTATGTTTGCGAAGGGAAGTGTAGATATCATCTGAATTGGACAGGTCAAGTGTGGTGACAACATTATTAAAAAGCATAATACCTTGGAGAAAGGCAAGCTTTCCAGCAACATTTGCCTCTGGGCTGAAATGAAACATGAAAAAATGTGCTTTTTTTTTTGGAAAGATACGAGCAAGTGGAAGGATGACTCAGCACACAAATCCGTTTGGTCAGCAGGAGGCAATCCCTGGGCTCTGACAGCCCTCCTGGAGAGGAGAGCAGGGCAGTGTGGGCATTGAATAGGGCTCCAGAACAACATCCCAGTTGTAGCAGTGTTGCTGCCCTTTCCCCACTAATAAACCAAGCACGCTGAGCTGGGAGGGTTAAATACATTTTGTCTTCCAGTGTAGTCTAGAGAAGGGGAAAAACCACCCACCTCCCCATTCTTTGGCGACAGACAGATCCTTCCCACCTCCCTCTCCCCCCTCAGCCTCCTGGTAACTCTAATCCAATATTATTATGTGAAAAATGGTTGGGCTAGCTATGGAGACAGTAAATTAAACGTTATGTATTAGTTTTTAGCGTGTGGTCCCGGGAAGAACGCCGGCCCCATTTATTCCACAAACCTCCTGAGCACCATGGCGATGACCTCTGGAAAAACGCAGGGCTAAACTAATCCCAAAGATGTCAATCTTGGGGCCTCTTCTACATACACTTGCAGTTTAGATTAATAAACTGTCTATTTTTAAATTGTGTGCAAGCACTTCAATTCTAAATACCTCGCCGGCATGTTAAACACGGCGTTAGTGATGCCAAGTCACACTTCCACTTTGCTGTTAGGAGGCTTGACTTCATCTGTTTTTCTTGTTTCCTGGCGATGTGGCACACTCTGCCTTTTGGCCCATGCTGGTGGGACAGCATGGGGCAGGGGAAAGGCAATCCTAAGGTCTGTGGCATTGGGTAAGGTGCTGGAGGAAAAGGTGACTTCACAGAATTGTTCAAGTTGGAAGGGACCTTAAAGGGCATCTAGTCCACTAATGCAGTTGGCCAGCTTCTCTGCCTTCCTGATTTTGGCCTCTTTCCCCTGAGACTGTTGCACTGGGGCTGTTTCCCAGTGGCTGTGGCCAAGCTGGTAGCTCTGAGCAGAGTAGAGGCAGTGATAGAGCCCTGCTCCATCTCACTACCACCATCTGGGAAGACAGTTGTAGAGGTGAAGGCAGCTTTGCATTTTTCCTCCAGCCCTCTTCCAACTTTTCACTCCAAAACAGGGGCTGCTTGCTGCCTTGGTTGCCAGTGTAAGATTGGAGCTACTGGGAGAGAGCATCCTCATCTCCTGCTGCCCCTTCCCTGGCAAACCACAGCTCCCCGCGTTGAGGACACATGTGTGAGCGGCTGTGCAGCCTCATATTTCTCCCTCCCCTTTAAATCATCTCTCCATTGGGTAAAGGCACTCTCTGCGGAGGTTATAAACCCTGAGAGGATCAGCCTGAGCATTACACCTGGGGCAAGCTAAATAAAAAAAGGTCACCGGCGCTTTTTAAACATGGACAAAAAAGCAGTAAAATGTGTTTGGAAAAAAAAATCTGGCATTAAATCATGACTTTTTGCCTGGCTCGCCTCATTAAAAGTGGCCTTTTGGAAGGTAAAATTATCATTGTAAGTGATAAGATCTTTAAGAAAATAATTCACGGCTTCTTCACCCTTTAATATGATAGCCGCCACCGGCTAATTTTTTTCTTAATGGCAACGAGGCCATCAATCTTGTCCAAGCCATGCGCTCGCTCCTTCCTGCGGCCCCTCCTGCTGTGCCTCTCCTCGTTTGGTGCTGGGCAGGTTTGGCACCAACCAAAGGTGCATGGCATTGCCTCCATCACGCAGGAAGGGATGGAAGCTGGACACAGCCCAGCTGACATCCCGCTCCCTTTCAAGTCTGGTCATTCGAGGGTATTGAAGTGCTGGGCTCCGGCTTTCTGACAGCCCTGGAAAAACACGGGGAGTCTATTTTTCTTAAACAATCCATCACCGCTGCTGTCAGCAGAACAAATACCCCAACCCTGCTTTCTATGTATCTATAATCTTTTTTTTATTTTTATTTTTATTATTTTTTTTTTTATTTTGGCACAAAGTGTTCCCTGCTTGATGCATTCAGCTTTAACTCTGCCGCCTAAATAGGTACTTATCACTTAACATGGAGGTGATGGCTTGACATGTTTTCTGTCTCCTGCCCTCCCCTCCACGGTAGGGAAGCCGTCAAAGTGTTGCTAATAGCTGTTATCACTTGGGAACTGTAACCCGAAAGCAATGAGTGATACCAGGCCTGGCTGCGATTTTCCTCCTTCCCTCTGCTCACCATTTGTTATGCTGCTGCTGGAGGATCCCTGACAAAAAGATGCTACTATTAAAGCTGACTTTCCTAGAAGCTTTTGGAGGGTCCACATTTGCTGCCAGGCAAGCGAAAGGCGAAATTATGTGGTGGCTTTTATCTGGGTGGGATGGAACTGGGGATAGAAAGCTTCAACATGGGAAGGATGTGAATAGTGAGCAGAAATAACAGTGTCAGCAGGGAGCTGCTGATTTATTTCGGTGATGTGACTGCACAGGATAGGGGACCCCTTCACACTGAGCCACCAGTGGCTACAGCCAGGATGGAGGGGACAGATCTGTGCTCTGGAGCTGGGACACGACCCCCAGACCAAGTCTGTGCGTGCTCCTCCTGCACAGTGCTGTGTCTCCAGCACAGATGTTCAGCCCAAGCAAAGCGAGGGGCTTTGTTCAGCGCTGATTTGTGTTATGGCACATAACCTCTTGGAGGTTTGTGTTGGAGTGGCTCTGGTATTCGTCACCCTGAGCTGGCAGCCGGCACACACCCGAGGTAATTTCCCCTCCTTCACAGATCTGTAGGCTGTTCCCATGTCCCCACCTTGGCTGCAGCCTTGCCACGGCATTCAGATTTGGCTTTTTAATCCTTCCTCGTAAATCGGTGTTGCACAGGGAGGAGCGTGACGTTCCCGAGCCCCTACAGCGAGCTCATGACACAAGAGAAGGAGTCAAAGCCCTGGGGCCCCAACACTGGCCCCTGCCCCTACCACCAGACATGATATGGAGAAGTTAAATGATCGTGCTAGAAATTTCATCTCCAGTCAGGCAGCTGGCAAGGGCTTAGCACAGCCGTTCTGTCAGGGTTTCAGGCTCCAAATCTCGCTTGTTTCAAAGCTCTTTCTCCTTGGAGGGCTTTAGTGGTCAAATTTCCCTCTAGGTGCTGTAATTCTCTCTCGAACTGCTCAGCCAAGCTGTAAAACTGCAGGGTGGGTGGGGGATCACAGCGGAGGTCTGGGAGCACCCGGAGTGTTTGCTGGTGGTGGGACCTGGCACACGAGCTGGGCTTTGGTGGGAAAGGCAGTCTGCCGTCATGTATGGCCAAGAGGAAGTCTCTGAAATTTAGGGAGAGAGATCTCCCTAAATGTCCCACTGAGATGATGGAACAGGTTGGCCAGAGTGGTAATGGATGCCCCATCCCTGGAGACATCCAAAGTCAGGCTGGATAAGACTCTGGACACCTGACAGAGCTCTAGGTGACCCTGTTCATTGCAGAGGAGTTGGACTAATTGCCTTTTAAGGGTCCCTTCCAACAATGCTCTGATTCTATATCCACAAAGGGAGAGTCATAGCCAGACAGTAGCAAAAAGCATTTTCAGGTAACTGGGAGCACATGGGGGTGCAAGATTCTCAGCATTACCTCTCAAGGACAAGCCAGAACAGTCAGCCTTTGGGGAAGTCCTGCATAGACACTCTGGGCTCAGAGAGGTCTGGGGGATGGCTGACTGGGACACATCTCCAGGACGTGCCCTCCCGAGTGGCTCTGCTGTTGGACTTCCCCATGAGGACCCAAAATGATGTGAAAGGTTACTGACCAACACCCAGCTCATGTTGGGGAATGGGATTTCTTTTCCCATCCATCCTGATGTCTCAGGCTTGTCATCAGAGATGAGTGCCACAGGGAAATCAGGGCTCTCTCTAATTCCTATGCATGGGGAAGACCTCTTCTACAGCAAAGCAGGTGGGTTTTTAGCACTTTTTTTTGCACCTCTGCCTTCTGCAAAGCTCAGACACACATGCGGGAGTTATCTGGGCTCTCAACAACATGAGGATGAAGGCACCACTTTGGAGCTCCCCATTTTGCTGCTGCATGGGCAGACGGATCGTCCGCAGTCCCCATCTCGCAGCCCTTGTTTGGCCGTCAGTGCCTCAGTCAGCCCTGATAATAGAAGAACTTGATACAATAATCCTGCATTCATCGCATCCCATGTTGAGTGATTGGATTTTCTTTGACATATTGCCATGAAAATTGACCCAGCACAGTGAGTGACAGCTCTTGAGGGCAGGAGAGCAGGAAGCGAGGGATGTGTGCTTACTGCTACCGGCAGGGAGAGATGTTTGCTGGGGTAACTATGGGGAAGGAATGGGCTTTCTCAAAGGGAATTTGCATCCCAATGGCTCGATGGGCACAAGGGAAGGAGCAGCCTTGACTCGCACCTCATCCTCTGAGCCCTGTGTGGTGACAGAGAGGACTTTAACACCGAGCTCACCCGGTGGTCAGCACATCACCTGTCCGTGCCACACAGGACTTGTCTCCCAGCAAAAACCACCTAGAAATAATGAATCCTCCTGGGCTGAGAGGCTTTCAAGCTCTCTGAGAAGGGAATGAAAGATTTCCTGATTTCACCCTCTCCCTCCCTGCTCTCGTGGCTTCTTGAAGTTAATGTTCTTAGGCCCAGACGTGACGGGCAAAGGGAAAAGATCCATGTGGTGACAGGGGACGATTGATCTCCTTTACATAGAACGACTCTCCAGTCCCAGTTTAATCCCCTCGCTCAAGGCAAATGGGATTCTTTGTCAATGGAAACTTCAAAAGCCCAGCCCTGCCGAGAGATGGACCTTCTTCTTTATCTGCTGGCTGCCACTCATGTGGTGCATATACCTCCAAACAGCTCATTTGTCTTTTCTCCCGTCCCTCTCCCTCACAGACATTATTTTGCAGGTGCCTTTCACTCCTTCAGGATGCCCAAAGGCAACCACACTCCCTCTGGGTCTTTATTTTCTCTTTGGGTTTGAGTTTGCCTGGGACATATCCCAGGAGCACACTGCCTCCCAGCCCCTGGCCTGGGGGGTTGCAGGGTGTTTATGTGCTTGGCAAGGCAGTGACCCCCATGTTGCATTCCAGCTGCTCCAAAAGATACCCAAAGCATCCAGAAAAAAATAGGCAAGCAGGGCCTGGAGCTCCTTATCAGCCACTTGCCTGCACAAGCACTGATCCTTCCTGCTGCAGCATCATCTTAAGGGCAGCTAATTAACAGATGGTGCTGCAGCAGTGATGCTATGATGCATCTTGGTCCTGGCAAGCAGGGCTTGCTGAGCCGAGGGAATGGGAGGGGGAATCCATCTGAGAAATGGTCTTTTAGTGATTTGGGTATGCTTTGATCCCTTAGAGGTGGCCCTGCTTCCCTCTTCCAGAGCTGGCATATGGCTCTGGCCCCTTAGCTCCTGTGCATGATTTCACAGTTTGAGCTCAGTATGCGTGTGATCAGCTCTCATTAGCTGTCATTAGACACAATCTGGAATCCTGGAGCCTTCTGGGTCCTTCAACTCCAGCGTTCCTCAGCTGCACGGGATGTGGTGGGGAACAGGAACAGGAACAGGAAGAGCATTCCCTGTGCTAGCCTGGCTCCTGGGACGGTCTCACCCTCAAGGAACATAAAGTGGAGTGGGATGGGAAGGTGATGGGAAATAAAGTGCATCACTCCAGGGAAAAACATTTCAAGAGGTACTCACTTACCTTGGGGGTGCCTGCAGCCATAGCATCCTTCAGGATGGAGTTCTTACTGCCAAAAGAGAAGAGAATGGGGTCAGAGCCATGAAAACACTGCAGTGGGCAGTGTGGGGAGCTCTTGGAAGGGATCTCCAACAGCAAAGAGCTCTTCCACCCTGGGGAAAAATGGGGAGTGAGCCTATAGGGGCAATGGGATGATAGCCACAGAGAAGGTGGTGAGCACTGCATGGGGCCGGGCACAATAAAACAGGAGGATGGGAAGCAGAGGGGGAATAAATCAGTGTAAAGAGCAGGGGAACGAAGATTCCCGCTGCTGCCGCTGCCGCCGCAGGCTGGAGTGATTTGTGAAGCCAGTCTGCTCCCCGTTTAGCAGGGAAGGAGGTCCCCGGAGCAGCGCTCCTCCTTGCCTGCCCTCGCCAGCGGGAGATGCTGCAGATTTAATAACACCTTCCCCCCTCCAGACAGGTTAAACTTGAAACAATTACATATCAAAGCCGACATGGCGGGGAGGCCCGCGCTGTAATTTTTTGGTTATTAAAGTAATCTCTCTCATGTAAATTCTCCCGCTAACATGCTGCAAACAGCATTAGGAAATAAATGATTTCCCCGTGATTCGATTTGTCAATGCAAAGCACCTGCAGCAGGCAAAAGGAGCTTGAAATATGCTGCCAGCCCCAGTGCCGGTGCTCACAGCGCAGGCTGGATGCCCTGAGCCTAGGGAGGTGATGGATGGATGGGTGGGCGGGGGGGGGGGCTGGGAAGGGAGGGATGGAATTGTGTTTAATAACAAAATTTGTATGCAAGCCTGCATCCCAGGCTAAGGATGAGTGATCGGCAGCCAGAAAGTATTAAAAAGCCTCGCTAAACAGATGCTGACAATAGAACAAGACATATCAAATCAGATCTACTTCAGGAGCATTAATACACGCACGTGCCCCCCCCCCTGCACGCGCCGTGCCGCACACACACGCTCCTTTCTTCTCAATCACAGCAATATGGGAGACATCAATAAATTTTTATGAGACTTTTAGAAGATCAACATGGTACTAGATGTGACAAAAAAGCAATGTGCCTGTCATGTTCGCTTTGTCGGGGACACTTTAGCCCCAGATGCCGAGCTGCAGTGGCAGCGGGGAGAAATTGAATTTGGCTGGCTTTAATCTGCCTTGATTTGGCAGATGGCTGGGTGTTATGAAATGAGAAGGGATGGAGGAAGGTGTTTTCTCCCGGGGCTACAGTCCCCTCCTCTCCCAGTGCCACCGCCCCACAGTGAGGTGACACCCGCGGTGATCTCTCCCCACTGAGTCACCCCAAATGGCAGAGCACTGCTCCAGGCCCTCAGGTCAGTGAGCTGCTGCTTTCGCATGAGCATACCCAGAGTGTGATGCTCAGAATGAACAAGTACTGCGTGTTTTGAGGACATCACAACCATCATCCAATGTGTCTGCTGCCTACAGTGTGCTACCGATCCCATCCCACAGCCTGGCCATCTCTGGTCCCACAGCCCTGCCGCTCGCTCCCATCTCTGTTCCCAGTATGAGCAATTGGGACTTCTGTTGGGACATAAATGCCATCTTCAGCTCCCTCTTGCCTTCATGCCAGATAGAACTTGTTCTGCCTTGATGATGGCCAAAATTGAGCTTAAAATCCTCCACCTCCCACGATGTTTCCATTTTCTGAATTGCCCAAAGTGTGAAACAACACTTTTTTTCTTTTATAAACCAATCATTGGGTTAAAGTAAAAACAAAAAACAAAAAAACCCAACAACCCACCACAACAACTCATTTCCTCCCTTTTCTTGTTAAAGGTGTTTAAAATTATTCCTTTCCAAGGCTGAGAGGAAGAGTCTCATTAATTCCCCCCAGCAATGGTTGTAGTGCCAGGAAAGTGGAGCTCCCAGGAAGAGTTTGGTCAGTCAATGGGCTGCCATTGGGACTGATGGGGAAGGGCTCTGTTTGTACTGTTCTTCATTGGGAGGAGCAGTGCTGACAACCACTTTTAGATCTGCTCCACAGCAGTTGTGCTGGGAAGAGGCTGTGAGTGGAGGGGCCGTCAGCAAAGAGAAACCTTCCTGTCCATAAACACCACGGACAAATTAAAAATGGTAAAAGGGAAATCAAGACCTTTAAAGTTCAAACACTTTTCGGTGCCTTTTAAAGTTTTTTGCTCTAGGCTCTTGCAGAGAGCACAATCTTTGGAGACCTCGGGATTCTCTTTAATCACCCAGCCAGGCTGCAGTGGTCTGAAATGATTACACATTTACATAGTAATAACCCCAACACTCCCCACATTATTTCATGGCTAGCATATTTCCACTCAGCGAGTGATCCATGTGTTTTAAATTATAACCTGTACATAGGAAATTAGTTACTAAGTACGATATTCACAGGCTCTTCTGACACTTCTAATTAAGGTGATTTACACAGAATTATCCTACGAAATAAAAAAATGGTGTTTTGCTAGCTAATAAAATATAATTACTACCCACTTTTATAAGTTACAGTTAGTTTTAATCTATTTGGGGAATTGTTTGTCTAGTTCATTACAGCAAAACAACTTCTTTGCCTTTTAGGGACCCTCACCCCCCAAACTACCAAATAAGAAAGGCAACATCCTGGGAAGAGGCAGTACTTCGGGCAGCCTGGCTCTGCCCCGATGGCTTTGCTTCTCCAGCTGGGAGCCCGTGTTCCTGCCCCATGTGCCTGCACATGAGGAAGAGCTTCTCAGAAAGAGCGGTGATGTCTGGCATCAGGGAGGCCCAGGGAGGTGGTGGGGTCACCGTCCCTGGAGGTGTTCAAGGGACGTGGGGATGTGGCACTGAGGGATGTGGTCAGTGGGCATGGTGGGCTGGGGTTGGACGGGATAATCTTAGAGGCCTTTTCCAACCTTGGTGATTCTATAATTCTGTGATGCCATGCATGCAGATGCTTGGTGGCTTTGCAGGGATGCTTGTGCTCGTGCTTCACAACGCTGCATAGAGGCCAGCACGCACCTGCTATTTCCCATCCCTGCATCTCATCCCCAAAACACCCTCATCAGCCCCCGGGATGTGACAGCCCCAGCTGGAGCGTGGCCAGCTCCCATGTGACATCTCACAAAGCCAGGAGCACGCTGCGGCCAGCTGATGTATTTCTGTACAAACAATCCAGTGGACACAATTTATTTCCAGCAGCTCGGGCTCCCAGCCTCGGGATGGAGTAGCAGCAGCAGAGCTGTGCAGAGCAGATGCCGGCAGGGAATCAGCAGCAGCCGGGCAGAGAGGGAATTGGATTTTTGTGGACGACAGTTTAAATAAGTGGAAGTGTCACTTGAAGCCTAAATAAGGAAATGAGGGTTTGATTATATATTTTTTTAAACTACATGAGGCCAAACCCTCACCCAGCCGTGGGTGACAGCTCCCCGGAGCTGCCACACGTGATCTGTGCTGTCAGGGGGAAGGCACTGGGGTGTTTAACCTGCTCCAAATACTGATTTAAACATCCTCTGCATCCTATGGTGAAAGGGGCTGAGCGATGGAAAAAACAGCCAAAGCCCCCGGAGTGCTCTCCCAGTCCATATTTGCGAGCCCCAGTGCCCAGCTGGGAGGTGACACTGCAGCAGGAATGCAACAGGAACACGAACCACCATGAGCAGGGGACCCCAGCACATGGTACCCTCTGCCTGCCCTGTCCCTGCTTGTGGAGTTCAGCAGGTTCTGGGTAATAAAGGGGTGATGCAGAATGAGGGGTGGATGGAGAAACATTTCACTATTTGAAAAGGAGGTGGCTGGAAAGAGAGAAGTTGGAGGGAAAGGTCATGTGTGAGATTGATCCGGGGGGCTCTTTTCTACCTTGGCTGTAATGAGTGTTTAATTATTCGCAGCTCACATGGCAGTTCAGAAGAGGTTCTGCAGAAGGCATGCATCGCTCAAGGGAAAATCACCGGCCAAGGATTTATTTCTCACCTCTGGTTTCTGTGTATAGCCCCCGGTGCTGGGCCCCCTGTCGAGTGCTGCACCCCTCTGCCTCCTCCTCCTCCCCATGGGTCCCACAGACCCTGGGGTTAGGGTATGGGCTTTGGGTGCTGCCAGCCTGCAGCACTGCCAGGAGCACTCAGAGTGCCTTATGAGTGCTGCTTGGATGAGGAGATGTCTGGTCCACAAGAATGGAAATGCATTCACACCAGGTCATGGGGCTGCTCTGCATCATTAAGGGATGTGCTAGGATGAGGAACCCAAAGCAGGACCAGGACAGGCACCTGCCCCTCTTGCCTGTGATCAATCTGCTCTGGCAAGAGGCAGAGACACAAATCAGAGGGAGGAGAAAGAAGATAAATCCACTACATCAACAGCACACATTCACTAGTTAATAAACAGCCTTCTCTCTTCATAAATTCCCTCCTTTCTCTGATGGTTCTCCACCAGTGAGAGTGGTAGGTGTGGACCTAGAATGCTCTGGTGCAGAAAAGATGGGTCTGGGTGGGCATCCTTCCCCCTGTACACACAAGGTGGGGAAGGAAGGACAGCCACTGGGTGGGTAGAGAGCATGACAAAACTCCATCCAAGCATGTGGGCTTTAGGTGGTGCTTGCAGGATATTTGGAGGGTGACAAAATGCCTCACCATGGCACAGCATGACAGCTGGTCCCACGTCCTGTCCAAGTGTCACTCACCAGCTGTTGCTCCCGGACACCTACAGATGTGCCTGCATCCCAAATTTGGCTACCGGATCCCTGAACTGTGCTCTGATACGGAGCAGTTCTACTAAGCAGCATGGGACACTCTGTATGAGGATGAGGCAAACCTTCCATGCTGTATGGACTGACCCCATCCCAGCAGTGTGATTTGCTGGGGGATAAGGAGCCCAGAGGCACCATCCTGCTGCACAGAGTATGGCCAGGCACTTAATAGCACCTGTCCCCAGCATCTCCAAGCGTGGATTTATGCCTCCAGGGGTCACCTCTGGCGAGACTCTAATAACATGACTTTATTAGCTTTCTTGTTCCTTCTTTAAGATACAGGAGCACAGGGGGAGGAGGGCAGTGACGGGGAAAAGGGGGGTGCATGGGGAGGAAGCGCTGCCCTGGCGATTCCCCTCCTGGGTGACAAGGGGGAGAAGGAGAAAAATGGCGCTCCCTCGAAATTTATCATGCACCCAATTACAATGTTAATTGGCAAGTCCCAGAAATCAATTAATTCGCAAATTTTTTTCAATTAAAAATTAAGATAAATCATAAAACGTTATTAAGGAAAGGCCAAACTCTGTGAACTTTTTTCTTTTTTTTTTTTTTTGGTAGGCATCTAGTTTTTGCTTTTTTTTTTTTTTTTTCATTTAAATTAAAAAAGAAAAAAAAAAAGAAAAAAAAAAAAAAGAGCTGTGTTGCCAAAGCCCGATGCCCTTGAGTGCCTTTGCTGAAGCGCAGGGGGCTGTCATCAGCAGGACTGGGCTGAAGACAGATAAAAAAATATCGACCAGTCGGACACACTGCTTCTGCTTTATTGATCAGGCGGGAATTTAACTTGCTGTGCATATCCACCGTGTCAGCAAGGGCCACGGGCGAAATTAAAAGTACTTGGCTTGGAGATGTCGCCTTGATACCGGGGGGTGGGGAGAGAGGGAGGGGGACGCAGAGGGGGAGCAGGAGGGAAAGGAGAAGGAGGAGGTGGAAAAAGAAGAGGGGAAAAGCAGGAAGAGCAGCAGAAGTTGAGGAGGGGGAGGGAAATGCCCGTGGGCTTAGCGTGCTTTTTCCTGGGTGCCATCTCTCTTGGCCCGGTGCTCCCAGGTGGCCACTAGATATAAGGAAGAGATGCAGTATGCAGTTCAATGGGGCTTTGGGAAAGAAGTCCCTCTCAGCACAAAGTGCATACCATCTTCCCCATTCAGACACTGGCGGATCTGCAGTGCTCACTGAACAAGATACCTGGCTGTCAGGTTAAAGCCTGCAGCATAAATCGAAGAGACGTGGGGCGAGAGCCATGACCGTGCTGTGACACATGGCAACAGAGCTAATTCGGGTTTTATGCTCTCTATTCATCCTGCTGGGCCTGGCAGTATGGCTGCTCATCCCTCCCTGTGCCATTTGGGGAAGGCCCTGTTGCGTGGCATGGTGCTCAGTGCATCCGGAGCAGCAGAACATAAGCACAAGGTTCCCTGTGCATGAGTAGGGTCAAGAGCCAGTAAGAACTGCTTGGGTGCATCCCACCTGCCCAGGAGGAACACTGAAAGCTGCTGGCATGTGGTCACGTACGCCCTCAGGTGTTGGCATAGGGTGACTTTAATCAAAAAGGCCACCAAACTTTAGTGAAATCCAGGCTGCATCTCCTGGTGCTTGGAGACGTCTCTCAGAGACACTGACTTGTGTGGAAGCAGGTTGACCTGTCCCCAGGTCCCATAGCCTCACATTTGGCTCTTTCAAGAGAATCAGAAGAGAAATTACTCCTGGACATGCCAGAAAGTTCACCAGAGGAATCAGGAGCTCCTGAGGTGCATTCAGGGATGTCACCTGTGGATACAGTGTGGTGAAAAGGTGCAAGGAGAGCTGCCAGGGGCAGTGAGTGGTGGAAATGGGTAGGGTAAATCACAGATCTGAAGCACAACTTTGCTGCTGGCCATGCAAGGAGGAACCTGCTAGTTGCCATGCAGGGAAATAAAAATCCCCCTGCCAAATACATTTTTAAAAGAGCATTGCATTTTCAATAACAGCGCATCAGGCTATTGAAAAGGAATACACCCAAAAGCACATTTCCCAGTCTTCCAGCGGTTGACTCAGCAACTGTAATATTTGTAATGTGACTTTCTTAGGCTTTTTGAATCCCCAGTGGCCCTCCCACCTCAAACCCAAATCATAACCCCAAAGCTGCCTCTCTTCTCCACCTATAGGTGCTTGCATGAGGAATAAAACAGGTGGATGTGAATCAAGAAGACCTGCATCCAGGCTTCATGCACATGAGTATTCACATATTTGGGGTGATGTGTGCAGAGAGTTGCTGTCATTATTTCTTATTTTTTAGCTTGATGTTACTTAGCTGCTCAGTTAGGGACCAATACCTCTGCTCTCCCCATTGCAAGGATGCAGTGAGCAGAGCATCCCTCCCCTCACTGCATCCCTCCCATCACCACTTCTCTGCTGTGCTATGCTCGTGCTCCACCAAGGTGAGCCAGGAGGTAATTCCTCTTAGGAGGAGGAATACCAACAGTCTCGCTCCGCAAGAGTTAAACCCCATAAAACCGAGGCTTGTAGTTTTGTTTTCTTTCAATTTATACCCTTCACTTAAAGAATGGGGAGGGGGGGTAAAAGGAAGGAGGGGGAGAAAAAAGAAAGCCAGGTGACATATTCTAAGAGGGAGCACCGAAAACGTGTTAAGCACTTCAAAATCTCATATATTCAATCGGCCTCTGGCAAGACATCTGCCTAATGTTAGCGCTTAAATATCCTTTTCCATTTTACATGCATTCAAGTCTCATTTGAGCGAAATGAAACGGTATTATTAAAGGGAGATTTTGCACAAATGGCCTGAATTTGACATGTCAAGTTCAATGAGGCTGTTACATATGTAACACCGAGAAGGGCTCGGAGGCTGCCGCTCTTGAAACAGCGCCAGTGGCTCAGAAATGAAATTTGCATTCAGAGAGCCTGGCCGAGCCGTGCGGGGCTCAGCCGGGTGGTGCCCGCCGTGCTGGTGCTGCCCATGCCAAGGGCTGCCCCTGTGTCCCGGGGACAGCAAAAGCCTTCCTGCAGCTTGGTGTGCAGCACCTCTGGTGGGTGGATGGGCAGCGCTTGGGTAGGTCTACACTTCTCTCCTACTGCAGCTCCAGCCTGGAGGAATTCCCTTCCTTCTCTTCCACCGTTGCTGGTGCTCCAGCAATGCCCCTGAAACCCCCAAAATGGAGACAACAGCGCAAGGCAGACCTCAAATTGCTTTGCTACCAGCCTTTTCCCTTTCCATCTGGCCCCAGGGCAGCCTTGCATCTTGCTTGCACCCAATGCAACCCAATGGCCATTCTGCCTTGGGGGATGCCACTCTGTGCAGCATCCCTGGAGCTGTGAGTCCCCAGTGCTGCAGGCGCAGCAGGTAGGAGGGAATCTGCCTTCCTAACCCCTAGTGCTGGAAATTGATGATTTGGTTGCAAATCATTAAGGTTTATTAAAACTTAACAGCACGCACCACGATTGGCTACATCCTCTTTAAATCTAGAAAAAAAGGGCCCTTGGAAAGCAGCCCCTTGGTTCTCTTCTCCCCATCAGACTGATAAGTAACAGCTGCTCAGCCATTTCGGTAACGAGTCAGCATTGGCAGGGAGCGGCCAGGGCTGCCGGTGCCCGTCACGTTTATAGGCCTACATTTTATTTTTATGTTTATTGGGTTATTTGAGATCATTATTAGTTTCTCTCTCCTCTTGTTGATGTGTTCTTGCTCCCGGCAAGAGCTGGGGCAGCAGGAGAAGGGGCCACCTGAGGGATGGAGCCCAGCATCCCACCACCTTCATCCTGCCCATTGCTGCAGTGGGCAGCCTATCCCTGTGCTGAGTCACAGCCCGCAGCCTGGATTGAGCCTTATCTATCATGGAGCGCAGAGAGTTGTTATTTAATAATTAATCAAGACCTCTGATTCTTTGCCACCGCCTGCATGGCCGAGCGGAGCGGGCGAGAGAAGCGAGGGCAAGCTGGGGAGAGCTGTCTTCTCTCTAACTGCTGCTGTTATTTAAACGAATAATGCCATTCTTTTTCATTTGTCAGCTGGCCCACAATGGCCCTTGTCACGCTTTATGATTTAGGGTTTCCTTTCCTTTCCCATTAAACGCCACCTTCCCATCACCGCCTCGCGCCAGCCGTCCTCCGCGCCTGGCTCGCGCTTTCAGTTTTGCTCTGATATTGGCCCAACTTCTTTGATGGGCTCCTCGGAGCGCTAATTGCTTCTGTTCATTTAAACCTGTTCACTAATTTGCAGTGGCCCTTTATTAAGTTGGATGCGGCCCAAATGACGCCATAAATTACGCTCGCGAGGGGAGCGGGTGGCGCGGGGGATAAATGGGCTCTTCCCTGCCCCCTCTTTCCCTGTGTGGTGCCAGGATCCAACATGATGCCGCGTGGGTGCTCCCTCGGACCTCTCTGCTTCTCCCCCTTCTGAGCATTTCTGGCTTGCTGCAAGGCAGAGCCCAGCCAAGCTGGGGCAGGTTCTTCCACACTCCCCATATCCATGGGAAGCCCCCTGCCCTGGTGTGCACACACATACTGGTACAGGAGCCCTCCCTTCTCTCCTACCACCTGGTGACGTAACTCAGCTTTTCAGTGGTGGTATGATTCCTTTCCTCACCTTTTAATGACCGGGGAATTAATTAATAATTGAAATAAACACGCTCTTTTCCAAGGCTGCTGAGTTTTATTAAGGCAGGGGCAGGGATCTGACAACCCTTGGCTGCAGCCATTTCCTAAATAACTGCTAGCAGTTAAAATGCAATTATTATTATTATTATTATTTTTAATAAAAGGAGGACTTGCCCATGCAGGGGAAAGCATCAGGAGCAGAAGGCAGCTCCCACCCTGCTCCATTGCAGGATGCACTCCAGATGTCACAGCACCCATGCAGCCAATATGGGGCCATGCTGCAAGTACCAGCTCTCGCTGTTTTAATTTGCTTGCATGTCGTTTTCTCCTCTGCTATGGCTGGATGGGGCTCTGGGCAGCTTGATCTAGTGGTTGGCAATCCTGCCCGTGGCAGGGAGTTTGGAACAAGATGATCTTTAAGGTCTCTTCCAACCTAAGCCATTCTATGATTCTATGATCACAGGCTGCTTACCTGATGTTCAGCTGGGTGAGCTTCTCCAGCTCCTGCTCCATGTGCTCCTGCAGCTCTCCAGGGCGTAGGAGAACCTGGCAGATGGGGCAGATGGGAGCCTGGCTGTCAAACAATGTCGCTTTCTTTTTGCCTGTGGGGAAGGAAAAGAGGGGATAAAGCTTTAGCTCCTGTGCAGCCTCAGTCCTGGAGCAGTGGCCAAAAGCAGCATTTCCTGCTCCGAGCTCCATTTGGTTTGGGCACAGCTTTAGGGCAGATTTTATCATCCCTTCTGCTTCTAAGCAGCAGAAACAGAGGGGACTGGCATGGTCTGGAATCCAGTTTTCTTCTGGAGTGCCCCCATTTCTCCCCAGTTCTCGTGCTCTTTCAGGCAGTTACTAGCTCTGTCCTGCAGATGGGCATGAGGGCATCCCGATGACTTAGCAGGGGAAGGAACTAGCATTGAGAGTTGTGGTTAGTGGTCAGAGTGGTGATGGTCAGCAGTTGGGTTAGGTGACCTTAGCAGTCTTTTCCTACCTTAATGACTCTGTGATTCTATGATTCTATGAGCAGTCCCATTTCTGGGCTGCTCTTCTGTAGCCTTGGCTTCCCCTGTTTCCAGAGCAGACAACGCAGCTCAGAGCCAAATGCCACAGCATTTCTCTCTGTTCTTAACTAATTTAGAAGAAGTATTTAAATTATCTGTGATGTCCCTGAAGCTGGGGGTCAGGACCCCGAAGAGCAGAGCTGTTCGCCCCCAGATGCAGGCACGGCTGTCCCCTTCTTCATCCCCAACCACCACCCTCCTCGTCTCCAGCCCTGCCAGGTTTCCCCACTCCATAGCCAATTTCCTTCAGCTTGGAAACTTTATTACCTCCTCTGTAAGGAATATAGAGCGCTTATTTAAGATAAAATAAAACTCTAAAGCAAACAATGAAGTTTCAATAAAAGGGGAAAGCTCAGGGATGCCCGCACCCCTCTCCCAGCTGTATTAGCAACTCTGCTCATGAGAGGGCGTGCGGAGCCTGGCTCAGCTGTGGCAGAGGAACATGCTTTATAGCTGCCTGTTGTCATCCAACGCCGACCCTCCTGCTGGATTATTTATTTATGTATTAGACATGGATCAAATTGGTTAAATCCGAGTGAGAGGCAGTAATGCACAATAAAGCAGCCAGCACTGGATGTGAGGGGCTACGTGCAGCGTGGCCTTCCAATCAGAAGCCAAAAGGTGCCATTTTATGGCTCCTAACGATGGCAGAGCCCAGTTAAATGAATCCCCATTAAAGGAATAGACCTTCTTGAAGTATAAAACATTGGTGTGAGCAGCTTTACTGGAGCCCTGCTGCTCTCTGTAAGTGCCTGGTGCAGGCATTTAACGAGAGGAAGAGTGTGAGATGAGTTGGAGTCACCTTGGCTCATCCTTGCCTTCCAGCCGGACATAGTGCACATGCCTGGCAGAGCCCTCTCCTTTGGCCTCCCTAAAGAGGGAAACTGAGGCACGGAACAGAGCTCAGTGACATGGACCTTCCCCTGCCTCTCTAGCACCTCTGTCCATTGGGAGCTCTCCCACATGCAGGCCCAAGAGCAAAAGCCCAAGTTGGACTTGAGTTGCTCCCAAGGCACATCCCTTGGCTCTGCATCCCTAATGCCTGCTGGAGAAGGGAGGATGAAACATGCTGCTGTGCAGCTGGTGCATCTCCCTCTCTTCAATAATGCCCAGAAATCACCAAATCCAAACAAGCAGCTCCTGCTGACCCTTGCGGGAAAGGTCGGCATTTCAGTAATTCCACCTTCCTGCTGGAGCTTTTCCACTTTTGTGTAGCAGGGGCTGAAATAGCCCAGGAGTGTCCCCGACCACCTGCTATTTATAACCCCAGCTTCACAGCAAAACAATGGAGCTGTCTGAGCCTCCTTCCCAAAATAAACAGGCAGCCTTTGAGTGGACGGGAAATCCTGCTGGATTCCAGCTGTGGTGTGTGCAGATGGATAGGGAAGTGGCTGCCCTCTGTCCTCCTACCCTGAATCCATACTCCCTGTCCCAGCCATCACCACAGGGCCCTCCCATCCTCCCCTACCACCCACAGTTTGCACTGGTGGGATGGGGATGCTCTTAGAGATTGACCTGCAGGTGTCTGTGGTATTCTCTTGCGTGATTGCTGTGAGATGGTGGACAGTCCTGGAGCACAGTGGCAGCGGTAGGAGGCGCCTTGGATAGGGATGTGCAGCCAGGATTCCACTTGGGAACCTGCTGCTGGACTCCTGCTTACTGTTTAGGGATCTTTGGTGAGCAAGTGTTCCTAAGCAGATGATTTCAGATTTCATCATCTGGGGTAACTGGGGGGGGGGATCTCAGACTATAGGAAGGACCTTCACTGCATTCCACTGCAGGAGAAATAAGCATCAATGGCCTTCTCTACCACCTACACAAATGATATTGCAATGGCTCTGTGTCATGTCAGCTGTCACCCTGCATCTGCTTGGTGTTGTGATAGCAAGGCAAGGTCCTTTGACTCCAGCAAGTGTGGGAGGCTGGAGCTCAGGCTACAGGAAAGGCTTCAAGAGGGGCAGGAGATCTGGGCTCTGGCCATGCAGCCAAGACCCTGACACACAGCCTGCCACATTCGTGCTTAAAGCGGGAGACAGAGGAGCCCCGGCTCCTGGCCCAAGGGTTGACAGCCGCACTTTAGCAGGCGCTAGGCTAAGTAACAGTGACAGCAGAGGGGAGGGGATGGCTCCATGCCAGCAGGACACCTACACAACTCATCTCAGCTCTGCCCCATGGCCCCACACTTGCTCATGCTGCCCATCCCATGGCACCCTGCTCCATGCTGGTGGTGCTGGGTGGTGGAATGGCAATCTGGAGTGTTCAGGTTTCAGTTGTCAGTGCAGAGACAGAGGGAGATGTGAACACTCCGTGCATCACTCTCTGATGCTGGGCATCCTGATATTCAGGAACAGCCAAGGACACTGTGTTGTGCGTGCAGCTGGACCAGAGGGCATCTGACCGTGGTGAAATGAAAGATGCAGGCCCCAAGCTGCCTGCTCCAGCAGCAAGTGCTCCCTGCCCTGCCCTGTGCCAAGACTTCTCCTGGGAGACCCTGAATGGCTCTTTTCAGGCTTCTCTTTTTGGCAGCTGTGTTTTTGTTTTCTTGCCCCTCTCTCTCCCCACCGCTCTCTGGTTCCACATGTTTACCCTCCCCGGCTCTGCTGCACTCCCCCCGCCAAGCCCCTGCTTGCCAGTGCCAGAGAGATGAAAAGGCAGATCTGCAGCTCCTGCTGCTTGCACAGTCTCCTGGGCTCCGTGGAAATGTTGAAATCCAAGTGTTGAAATCAAATATTTCCGGCTCCTAAAGCCGAACGCCTGACATGCAGACGCACCCCTGCGTGGAGGAATTTCTACATGGGTTCCGTCAGAGGGCATCTGTGTGTGAATGGCTCCCAGCCTTGGCAGAGGACAAACAGATCCTAGATCAGGAGACGCTCATGACACACTTGCTGTTGAGGATATGCTTTGTCTTCCACTAAGGCCCTTCCCTAGGCCACCTGCCTACGTCCCAGAGCATCTTCTCACTGCCCTGTCCTTCCTCATGGGCATCCAAAACTTTCCCATTCCCTGCCTTGCCCCCAGGAGCACCAGACCTGTCCTCCCAACTCTTCATTTCCCAATATCTCAGACTGTTTTCCACTTGTCTGAGTCCACAGCTCTACTTCCTTGGAGACGCCTCTCTCCATTTCATCTTCCCATTTTCTCTCTCCCTCTTAACCACTCCATCATTTAACACCCATCACAGCTGGTTGATCTGAAACCCTCCTGAATAGCAATGACCCCGCGCTGGGGCCCCGCACACTGCTCTGGGGCCATGTAGGAGCCAGGTGGGTGGTAATGGAAGTGCTGACACAGGCTTCTTGACAGCCCCACTGCTATAATAATCCCTCCTGGCTCCCCCTCTGCTCAGCTTCCATGGCGATTATTTTCCATTCCATGATGGGCCGGCTGTTATTTGTGTACTGATAGCAGATATCTCATGTGACAAGCTTCCTTTCCTTCCAGCTCAAAAAACAATAATTCAAAGAAAGCCCCATATTAGCTTGGAAATAGCCAAAAGCCTGCTCCTCTCCGGCGAGCCTGCATGGCATCCGATGGCATGACAGCAAGTGGCGGTGAAGGGGAAGATGACAGCAGTAGTGATGAAGGTGGGGGTGGATTGGGTCAGCAAAGAGCACCGGTGACAGCAACAGAGTGGCTTTGGGAGGAAAAATGACTTGATCATATAGGGAGGGAGCATGGGGAGAACTGCGCATCTCCTTGCCACACAGGAGTCACCTCTCTGAGCCATACCAGGTACCTGGGTTTTTTGGACAGCACATGGCATGGGACCATTCCTGCCATGAACTCCAGAGAGAAGGACAGGGGTTTGTGCGGAGGAGATAGGAGAACACAGATGGACAGAGAGACCCCATGAGCAAACGGGGTGCAGCACAGAGCCAAACAGCCCCTGAAGGGTCTGATCCTTGGTAAGGGGCTGGGCAGCCGAGCAGCTTAGCAAATGCACCTGCTTCTCCCGAGGCTAAGCAAAAATCTAAGGCAGGATCCAAGGCTGAAAACTTGCTGAAATATTGATTTCCTTCTGAAGAAAAGAGAGGCTCTTGCAGCTGTGAGCTGGACACTGCAACGCTGCACAGCGCTGCTGCCAGACAACTGGTGGGAGCTGTTCCATGTGACACCGCAGGGATGGCCCTTGGAAGAGAGGCACAGTCCTGTCCTCATGGGCACCGTGCTTCTGGGGGGCTCCTGGGGACATCCCCAGAATCCCAGGATTCCACCCCAAAAGCCACCTCCCCCCTGGATGCTCGTCTGCTGGGAACGTGGCTGCCCACCGCGGGATGGAGAAAGATGGATGGAGCCGGGCAATAATTTAAGAAACTGAGTGAGTCTGTACATCCAATCACTTTACAAATCAGGGGAAAAGGAGAGAGGAGGAAAGGAAGGGGGGGGGGGGGAGAAGTGAAAAGGCCGCGCAGGGAAATGCATCACAATTACTGTCTCAGCTCTAATGAGGAGCCTGTCATGAGGCTGTCATCCTGCGGAAAGCCACCTACTCAGAAAGATTCAATAAAAAAGTAGCAGAGAGATAAAAAAGAGATATATTTCAG